CAATTGCTCTACCCAGAGCCTTTCCTTTTGCCCCCACCCCCCGTTCTCCTCCCCAGACACCTGCCTTTTGCCCCCCAGTTTCCCACTGTGCTCGGACTCCCTCCCCAGACTCCGCTGGTCTGCCCCCCCGAGTTCCCCTCCCCAGACCTCCTTTTGCCCCCACCCCCCGTTCTCCTCCCCAGACACCTGCCTTTTGCCCCCCAGTTTCCCACTGTGCTCGGACTCCCTCCCCAGACTCCGCTGGTCTGCCCCCCCGAGTTCCCCTCCCCAGACCTCTCTTTTTCACTCCCGCAGTTGCCTTACACAGACACCTTCTTCTGCCCCCCTTTTCCCACTCTGGTGGGATTCCCACCCCAGACCCCTTCCTTCTGTCTTCCAGATGCCCTCACTGCCGTCCCTTCACTTTGCAGCCCCTTTCTCTCCCATCCAGCCTAGGCGGGGTCCCTCCAATCCTGGAACATCCTCGACCATACTCCCCACGCCACCCCTTGGTCCCTTCCCCACTGCGCTCGCCCCCTCCCCCTCCTGCCCCACCTCCTGCAGCTCCTCGTAGCTGATGCAGAAGAAGTTCTCGCGGCCCCGCAGCCCCAGCCAGCCCTTGACGTGGTCGAACCAGGAGCCGTACAGAACTGGAAATGCAAAGGGGGGGGTGTCACCCCGGGGAACTGCCCCACAGATCGGGGGGGGGGGGGCTCCTACCCCAGCCAGTAGCTGTAGGGAGGATTCGGGAGCTGCAGGGAGAACCGGGTGTGACTCCGGATTGAGCCTGGGGGAGCCGAGGTGCGAATGACACCCTGGGAGGCGTAGTCCAGCTGGAGAGTTTCAGCCCATTGAGAAGACTAGGGAGGTGACGTCGCACTGCACGAGCCTGGTGCGGGGGGAGGGGAGGCTGGCAGGCAGTGCATTCTGGGAGCGCTTGTCCATGATGCAGCATGGGAAATGTAGTCCGGTCAGAGAAGGGACAAGGGACAGGCTGGGGCATTGTGTTTCCAAACAAAGATTTTTCTTGAGGGTTGACTTTGACCAAAAAAACCTAATTTCTCCATCAGAAGCAGAATCTTTCTGCATAAAAATGTGCCCCCCACCCCACCGCTATGGAAACAACTTTTTACAGTGGGACCCAACAGAGGACTGGGTGGGGGAGGGGGGCGCACCCTGGGCAGGTGGGCAGGGATGGGGAGTAGGCTCACAAAGTGTTCAAAGTTGCTCTGAAGAAGATGGGGGAGGCCCATCCCCCGTCCAGCAATAAATTCTGCCCCATGCCAGTCTCCACATCAGTTCTGCCCCTCCCCCGTCCTCCTGCCCCTCCGGAGGTTCCTTCCCCCCTTTCCAGGCTGGCAGGAACAGAGGCTCCTTGCCCCACAGCCAGGACTGGGGGTGAGGGCTCCCCCTGCCACCCCACATACCACTCACCCTCCCCTTGCAGGAAGGCACCCAGTAGCTCCTCCAGGGACTCTGGCTCTTCCAGGAAGTTTGCCAGCTTGGAGAAATGATGGAGGGAAACCAGCAGGTCCTTGGGGTTACGGACGGTGTAGATGACCTGCAAGAAGGTGCTTATAGTAACCCCAGTCCTAGGGGGCTGGCAGTCAGTACCCCATAACCTGTCCCTGGTGGGGGGTGGTCGCAATTGTGAGGAAGCAGGTTATAGATGAGGGTTCCTTGCTCTAACCACTAGACCCCACTCCTCCCCCTCAGCTGGGAGAGAACCCAGGACACCTAGCACCCCTTGTGCTAACTACTAGGCCATTCTGCCATGAGCAGAACCGCTGCCCTTAGGATCCTGCACAATGGGGAGGGTGGAGCACTCCAGGGACTCTGGCTCTTCCAGGAAGTTTGCCAGCTTGGAGAAATGATGGAGGGAAACCAGCAGGTCCTTGGGGTTACGGACGGTGTAGATGACCTGCAAGAAGGTGCTTATAGTAACCCCAGTCCTAGGGGGCTGGCAGTCAGTACCCCATAACCTGTCCCTGGTGGGGGGTGGTCGCAATTGTGAGGAAGCAGGTTATAGATGAGGGTTCCTTGCTCTAACCACTAGACCCCACTCCTGCCCCTCAGCTGGGCGAGAACCCAGGACATCTAGAGCCCTCTGGGGTAACTACTAGGCCACCGTGCCATAAGCAGAACCGCTGCCCTTAGGATCCTGGAGAATGGGGAGGGTGGAGCGAGACCCCTGAGCCTTCTCCCACAACCAGGTAAGGGAGCTACCATTTGGGATCCCGGAATGGGGGGCCGGGGAGCCCCTCATGCCCATTTCACCTTGGCTTTGGAGCCCCAGAAGGATTTGGGAAAGAGCTGGATGGGCAGGTGGGAGCTGATGAGGCGGGGAGGCTTTGCAGACTTCAGCTTCTCCAGAGCATTAGGGGACTCGAGCCAGGGAGACCGATCCCAGATGGGCACACTGCGGCACCAGGACGGGTCTCCCTGCTGCCAGATGAGGCTCAGGATCTCCATCATCCAGTTGGTACCTAGGATGGGAGCAAAACACAGGTGCAGCCTGCTCCATTCCCACAACCGGGGAGAGACCCAGCCCCACCCTGCTCTAACCACTAGACTCCACTCCCCTCTAAGAACCAGGGAGAGAATCCAGGCGTCTTGGTGCCTAGCCACGTCCTGATCTAACCACTAGACCAGGTGGGGAACCTTTTTTGGTTCAGGGCCACTGGCCCACAGAAAATCGGTCAGGGACTGAACACAAGTGAGACACAAAACCAAACAAACCAACCCATCCCTCACCAGGAGCCCCGAGCCTCTGGGGCTGGAGCCAGGCAAGCCAGGGGCTGCATCTGGCTGCTGCCCGCTCAGGGCCAGGGAGAGAACTCAGAAATCCTGGCTCGCAGCCCCACCCTGCTCTAGCCACTAGGCCTGTGGTTCTCAACTGGTGGTCCATGGTGACTCTTTTGGTGGTCCATTGTCCAAAGTCACACGGCATGGGCAGCCACCAAAAATCTGTTAGTAAGAAGTCTCAAAAAGGAGGTGGTCCATGAAAAGTTTTTGATTGGCCTGGTGGTCCGTGGACTGAAACAAGTTGAGAACCACTGCATGAGACACTGCTCCCCTCCCAGACCTGGGGTAAGAACGCAGGAGCCCTCACTCCCCACCCCACCCTGCTCCAACCACTAGACCCTGCTACCTTCCCAGAGCTAGGGAGAGAAACTGAAAGATTTTACCCCTGGGTTTTTGCTGTACATGTGAGACGCCCCCCAGGCTGTGGGATGGGGTGGGGTTGAGAGGAGGACTGGAAACCAGGGCTCCCGGATTCACTCCCCAGCTCTGGGAGGGAAGCGGGGCCTAGTGGGTGGAGCTGTGGGGCGGGGAGGGTCCCTACCTGACTTGGGGTAGGTAACACTAAAGATGTCGTCGTCCAGCACCTGGAAGCGGTTCGTTATGAAGTCGATGCTCTCGGGGTGGTAGATCTCCATCTCTGTGGGGAAGGGGATCCCCTTGTGGGAGAAGCTGTGTCTGAGCATCACGGCCGTGGCTCCCTGCGGGCAGACAGAGGGTCTGGCTTAACGGCGCCGCATTGCCTGGGGGCACGGCCTGCCCATGCAGTCAGGTGCCGTATCCCGGGGCAGGGGGCACGTGGAGCCCACTTCCCCTCCCAGGGCTGAGGACAGAGCCCAGGCGTCCTGCTTCCCAGCTCCCGCCCCCCACTCCCCAGCTCTAACCGCTGGGCCTCACTCCTCTTCTAGAGTCAGGGATAGAACCCAGGCATCCTGGCCCCTCTCTTCCACCTGGGACTGTCCTGGGCACCACCTGGGGCTGTTGAGTCCTAGGCCCCCTGCACGTCCCCAGGACCCCAAGGGAACTCAGCCCTAGAGGAGACAGGTCCCCAAAAAACGTATCTGCTCTGCCGAAAAAATATTCAGCAGAGCAGACACTTTCCTTGGCAGAACCATTCTGGATGTTGGTTGACACCTGTTCTGGGGCTCAAATTGGCCTCTGCCGTCCAGCTCTGCGGTTTCTCTCTGCGGTTTGGTTTGGAAGCTTTTCTGGGTGAGCAGGGCAACTTGCAAGTGTGTGGCCCAAGGGGAGTTTGCAGTGACCCGGGCCAGGCAGAGTCGTCCAGAGCCGTGTTTCTCAACCTTTCTTTTTTAGAAAGTACCCCCAGTACCTACAGTTCTCACACACCCAACTTTTTATTCTACCATTGCAACACATTTGTGTAAACGTTCTCCTAGCCGGGTGGGCGATGACATTTTTGGATGGAAAAAGCACAAAAACAATAAAGAACCCCGCCGGGGGGGGGCCCCCCTGCCCCCCTGCCCCAACACCCCCCCCACACACACACACCATCACCTTGCTACACACACAGCACACAGGGAAACTGAAGGACACGCTGCACTCCTGCAAACCATTAAGAAAATCCCCACTATTTTCATTAAGAAACAACCTCCTCCCTGCTTTGTTACAGAGGGAGACAGGGTGGGGAACCCCCCTCCCCCAAAGGAGTGTGTGATATGGAGGGGGGGGAGGACACACACACACACCATCACCTTGCTACACACACAGCACACAGGGAAACTGAAGGACACGCTGCACTCCTGCAAACCATTAAGAAAATCCCCACTATTTTCATTAAGAAACAACCTCCTCCCTGCTTTGTTACAGAGGGAGACAGGGTGGGGAACCCCCCTCCCCCAAAGGAGTGTGTGATATGGAGGGGGGGGAGGAGTCCCTGTAATGAAGTGGGGATTTTATTCCCCTGGGGATGTTGCATGTGCACTCTACTGTCTTACTGGCCGCACCATCAACCTGTGGAACTCCTTGCCAGAGGATGTTGTGAAGACCAGGACTTTAACAGGGTTCAAAAAAGAGCTAGATAGATTCATGGAGCATAGGTCCATTGATGGCTCTTAGCCAGGATGGGTAAGGATTGTGTCCTGAGCCTCTGTTTCTCTGGAGATGGATGACAGGGGAGGGATCACATGATTATTCCCTGTTTTGTTCACTCCCTCTGGGGCACCTGGCATTGGCCACTGTGGGCAGGCAGGTCACTGGGCTAAATGGACCTTTGGTCTGACCCAGTCCGGCTGTTCTTCTATTCTTATATTAAACCCTGTGTGTGCCTCAGTTTCCCTGGGCACTGCGCCAACAGGGAGATGGGGATGGGAATTCCACGGCGTTGTTCTCGCGGAGGGAGGCGGCCTCCGCCCCAGCACCGACACAAAGGCTGATGGCCTGGACAGGGAAGGGGGGCGGCCAGGTGACCCCTTTTGCCCCGAAGCAGAGCAAAGCCCCGAGGAAGGGGCTTGGGACCAGGCTGCTGGGTGAGGGGGTTCATCCTTGCTGGCTTGGGGGCAGAGAGAGGGTCAGGGCCTGGGTTCTGGGCCCCCCTCTCCCCAAGATGGATTGGACTGCCCGGCTCTGGCTCCTGGCGTGATCCCGCGGGCGTCGGGGGGTCGGAGTGCAGCCGGCAGGGATGTTAGACAGCGTAATTGAATAGCCGTGTCACAGCATGAAAAACCTCGTCGTTACATAACTATCCCACAGGCCCCAGGGTGGGGGCGGCAGCCGGTGCGGCCCCGCCCCCTGCCCACCCTGTTTCCAAAAAGGCCCCACCTCTCAAGCCAGCTCAGGGGCATCGGCTCCCGCTCCTCCCCCCCTCCAGCTGCCTCTGATACTGAGGCAGCAAGCAGGAGGGGGAGGGGGAGTGCGTGTAGTCGACAAGATTAACCCATCAGCCCTGGCTCATCAGTTCATCGTGTAGTTGCTGACATCCCTAGCAGCCGGGTACCTGCCTCCCGGCCGGTGAGTTCAATTCTCCAGGTGCGTCTGCACCACGGGGAGGTTTCAGAGGGGTACCAAAAATGTATTAGGGCACGAGAGCACAAACTTTCGGGAGCCACCTCTCGCTTCCTCAGGCTGTGTCTAGACCAGTGTTTCTCACCCTTTTTTTAATAAAAACTGAGGCACAGAGACAGTGGCAAAGTCTAGGAACACACACCCCTTCCCCCAGGGTTCTGCCTCACCCTGGTAGCCCCTTGGGTGTGTTACTCACAGACGGGATCTTGCTGAGCCGGGGCCTTCAACGCCCCCAAGGGGATGGTGCTAAAAGAGAAACATCCCCTAGTAAATGTCATAGCCCCCCACCTGCAGGGAGATTCCCCAACACACCCAGGGAGCTTCCCCCATCCTATCTCACATTATTACCCTGTTTCCTAAACCCACCACCCCAAGCACTACTGCTCAGTCCTCTCCCAGAGCTGCAGTAGAACCCAAGAGTCCTGGCTCCCAGCCCCCTGCTCTAACCAGGCCCCACTCCCCTCCTGGAGTCTGGGATAGAGCCAGGAACCTTATGACCCAGGCAGGTGGATCGGGAGGGGGAGGAGCCGGGTTCCTACCTGCTGGGTCTCGGGGCGTCTCCTTTTCCTGCAGAGGGACACAAACCAGAATCTCCCATGAGCCAATCAGATCCCGGGACCGGCACCCAGCCCCTCGGCCCTGCGTGGAGGCAGGCAGGGGTAATGGGCGGGAGGGGGGAGCCCTTCCCCAGAGGGGGCTGAGCCTCCTGCTGGAGTGAGCCAGACAGCAGGGGGCAGCACAACACCATGTGCTGGGGGGGGGAGGGGCAGATTAACTGGGGGCT